ATCTTTTAAGTATTTGTGTTTGCCCAGCCCTGTCTGTTTTGTTTTGATGGGTTATGAGGTTTAGCTCTGATAATGCAGGTTTGCCTCTCTCTGTCCGTCCATCCATTCATCCATCCATCCATCCATCTATCCATCCATCCATCCATCTGCCGATCTCTCATACTTTTCCCTCAAACTGATTTCTGGTTTTATTCCTTAGCTTAAGGTACAGTGGTCCTCTACAACAGTGCCCCCAGGGAGCTGGGAGGGAGCAAAAACGTGGACCGTCTGGGTGGGTCCTAGAGGACCGGATTGAGAAACACTGCTATACTGCAGTGACCTCTAGAGAACTTAGGAGTAATTTCTGTCTTCTGAGAGCTCAGTGGGTTTATTGAACTCTGTCAGTCATTGCCAGGTTTAAGCCAATCAGGAGCCTCTTCGTCACCTCTGAGGTATAGCCTATAACATGGAGTACCTGTAGTTATTGGGCACTCGTGTCGCTTCCCTTAAGGCTGCTTAGCTTTACATGTTCTGGACCCTGAACCGCTTGGATGTCATTTAACCAATCAGCAAGCGAGGGGAGGAGTCACTCGGAGCTCTATGAGACGGCCGCTCGATTGCGGCGAGGAAGGCGAGAAAACCACTTTCGAGGGTGTCATCCAGACAGTTGCCCCTTAATGGTAATTTGCCATGGCTGGCCCTTGGTTTTTGAAAGGGGGGGGGGGGGGGGGGGGGGGGGGGGGGGGGGGGGGGGGGGGGGGGGGGGGTGCAGAGTGAGCCGTCTCCCAGCTGCACCGGCAAATGAGCTTCCTTTAGTAATATCTGATCTCATCACTGGTCTCTCTAATTCATTGTGGGAAATGAGGCCTGGATAGGCCCCTTGTCTGAGCTCTCGACCGAACGAGGGGCGTTCGGTGCACTGTGAAGTGCATGTCACTCCGCTGGATGCGAGCCACAAATAAATCCGAAGGGGAGCGCGCGCGCGTCGTTTCATTCCGAACACGGCCACTTAGCCGCGCCCGGCATCTTACCTTCTAACGCCTCCAATCAGGATTCCCAGAGACGGGCCGGGAGAAAGAAGAGCTAACGAGATCTTTGGTTTTCTGTTTCTCAGATATGTTACATGTGAGATCATTGCAATGTAAAGGTGAGGCCTGCTGATTTTAATACACACTGGGCATTTGTTGTAGAAGATTGTCTCTGACCTTAGGCTTAAATGGATCTAAAAAATTGATCTCAGCAGGAACTAGGTGAAGACAGATTCTATCTTCCCACAGCCCGTCTTGGGATTGCTATAAGATCTCAGCTGTTTCCGCGCCCCTACCTCTGCTGATCTTCAGTCTGTCTTAGAGCTCACTTATTTTTACGGTCTGATCTACTTTTATGCTGTTTATTTAGCGCTTTTCTCGTAAGTTATTCTGACCAAAGATGCGTGGTGTTGCTAGTTTTCTTGTGAGGGGGCTCCGTTCAGGCTTATCCCCTAGGGTTGTATTTTCGGACAATCCTGCTCACAAACATTTCCCAGCATTGATTGTCAACAGCCAGCCCGTTGTGATTCAGGTTATCGGTTAGAGACGGGGGATGAAGAGTCAACACGTGGGTCCGTTTCCAATTATGTTGTGTAAATGTGCCCCGCCCCTTCCCGGTGTTGAAGTCCGATGCGGATACGTGAGTGCCACACACGCTCCCGGCACGTTCTGTCGTGCTCCTCGTAACTAATCGCGCTGTCGATCGATATGTGTTCTCGTGAGTTTACCGTGTGAAAGGGATAGAAAGATACATAATATCTCACCCCCATATAGCGTAGACTCCTTCAGACAGAGTGGGTTTCTGAGACATGCTGCAGGCCTGGTTTTTCTGTATTTAATTTATACTTTCAGGGAATACATTTACACTTCTGCCTTGTCGTCTTTGCTCCGCAATCATCCGCTGTATGTTTTGAGAATTTGATGTGCGGCCGTGTTTATCTGCTGTTCCGCGTCCCCCCCCCCCTCACACCCCCTCTCGCAGGGCCCTCCGGATCCTCTCGTGTGTGTGGCGAATGTAAATAATGTAAAACGGCGCTCCGTCTAAACTGCCGTCACCGCGCATTACGCCGGCTCTTAAATCTCCGCCGCTGCCGCCCCTGGAAAGCTCTCGCCACCGATCCGCGCCTCCGCACCACCGACGCATACTTCAAAGCGTTTAATTAAAGTGTCAGGGTTTCTTTTTTTCTCCCGGCCATTTTATTTTGCCTTAATTAATTAGTCCGCTCGCGTCCGCGTGTCGGGGGGCTGCTGCGTCCTGGGTGGGGCCTTCCAGGAAAACGGTATTTAGCGTCCCAGCCTGACAGAAGGGAGGCGCGTGTCCTGGAGTCTGGGTGGATTTAACAAAGTGTTCAATTGTCTGCCACCCCTCCCCCCCACTTTCTCCAACTGCAAACACAATCTACCTGTGTCCATCTCCACCACCTTGTATTCCCTCCTGTCCTCAGGTAATACATTTTGCAGTAAATAAAAGAATCTACTCTGCAGTTCCAATTATATTTTCAGGCCGAATGAAACAAGCTGTCCACCTGTCCCCCCCCCCAACTAAGGCCGAGGAATCGGCCCGTGAATGTGTCGGATGGGGGTTGGAAGCGGTGGGGGAGGGGGGTCTCGGGTGAGGGCCCGCCTGGATGATGCCGCGTAATTGTTTTGCTAAACAACTCTGAGGCCGACCTGTCCGCATCGAGTCCGCCGCCGGGGCATATGGGTAATAGTTCTGTTATTTATGGCTGTCTTAATGAAGATGGGCATCTCATACTGGCAGGTTGGGTTCAGGGCCGGGGGGGGTGGGGGGGGGTTTCCTAGCTGTCAGTTGGCCGTCTTTCTTGAACTTTGCAGCTCCTCAGCTGTGTTCCAGTTAGTTTATACCTCTTGGCTTTGGAGAAATTCCTTCTGTTAAAAATATCCAGCTGCTTTAAAATAATCAAAAAATCAAAATTGTTATAAAGATTAATTTAATGTGTGTAAAATCATAGGAAAATTCTAGTGCAAGGTTCTGCCATGAAAATTAAAATAAAAATTGGCGACGCGGCCAATGGGCGATCCTCGGTCTGGATTCACAGACAGTTCTTGCGGGGACAGCCCCCCCCCCCCCCCCATGTGGCGGCAGGATAGCGCTTAATAAAAACTCCGCCATAAAAAGGCCGTAAAGAGCCGGTACGATGGGAAAATACAGCCCCCCCCAGCTAATGCGGAGCGTAAATCTCAGCCGCTGGCTGCAGTGAGCGGGACGTTCCGGCCAGGAGCCGGTTGGTAGCGGCGGACTGTGAGTTATTACGGCATTAGTCATCATGTGGGGAGCGCGGGTGAGTAAGTGCTCAGTCCTGCATTGTGTGTGTGTGGGGGGGGGGGGTTATCAAATAATTCCTCTAATAATTGGCAGAAATGGTGCTGCGCTTTGTGCCCCCCTATGTTTAACTGGGTCCAGGTACTGGGCAGTTCGGTTCAGCAGTGACTGACCGCGCTCCTATTGGCCGCTTACCCCCCTAGTACATCCAACCGTGTTAGGACATGGCGTGCCGGAGCTGACCTGTGGGGGCGGGGGCAGGAGGGCTGTCTAAATGGGCGAATAGTCCCCCCCTCCCCCGCCCGGAGTCGGCCACTGTCTGGTGTTTACCCGTGTGACCGGGTTGGGCTTGATGTAAAGGTCAGGCCTGTATCCGTATGCTAAGCAGGCCGTCACACTGCACGGCCGCTTCTGGCGCCCCGTGTTTACTTCTGAGGTTTACCGGAAGTGATCTGCGTCCTCATTGATCCATACCCTCCCCCCGGCACTTGCCAAAAATCTAAAAATCCTTGCCGCTCTCGCCCCCCCCCCCTCGCTGCCATCATCCCGGGAGAGTTTCCCCTACCTTGCAGTGGTGCCTGACATCCTGTCTGGACTCCCGGCTCTCAGCGGCATGGGGGGGGGGGAGGCAGAGGAAGGTGAAAAAAAAACAAGCTCAGGTGGCCATTGTGGGAAGTCGGTCAGGAGGTGCTTATGCCACAGTCTGCTTGGGGGGGGTGGGGGGTGTGAATAGCTGGATTCTGTGCTCAGGGCTGCAGCTCGCCTGGCTACATGTATGCATAGTCTCC